TGTTTCAGTTCTGTATCTTTTTAAAATAAATTATGGAGAACTGGGTGAAATCAGCACTAGGACATTTCTTAAATATAACACATTCGCACCATGGATGACACGTGTGCCTTGGAAAGTCTGGAACTAGCAGGTGTTGGGAGAAGGCATCCATCTTTCTTAATGGACTGTTTTCTTTGCCCTTCAAATGCACTGTCCTCACACAGTCATGTGCCTGGACACATCTGGAGCCCCGTCATTCACAGCATCAATGCTGGCCTGCATGTGCCTCCTCCTCCTTCCTGCCAGGTACAGGACTCCAGCTGGAAGAGAACCTTTTAAAGGGTTTTTATTGTGAACACTTTAAAACATGGAGAATGTGTGACAAACTACCATATTCACATTACTTAGCTTTAACAATTATCAATGATTTACCAGGCATACTGGCCAATCTTGTGTTATCTGTCCCCCTCCCACACCTGACAATTTTTAAGTGAATCCCACAGTAACCTTATTAGACCTTAAACCCTTTGGTATTTTCACCCAGAAATATTAGAACAAATGCTTCTTATCACTGAGGACATGACAAGGGTCTCGGGAGCCTGCGCCGGGAGCCTGGGCAGAGGCCAACACATGCACTTCCTTTTATCTCCCAACAACGCACTTGTATGCCTTTCCCTCCTGTTTCTTGTTCCTACTCCTGCTCCCTGCGATCACTTTCTGAAATATACAACTTGCATGCAAGCCTGGGCTCAGGTTCTGCTTTCTGGGGGAACTCGGGCTAAAACACCAGCTCAGGAGAGGAGCAGAGGAAGCCCCCAAAATGGCAGCAGAAGGCAGTCCCAGGGTGACAGCAGCCAGGAGAGTATCCAGCCAGATAGGAGAATGGAGGCCTCATGAGGGATGTGTCTCAGAGGTAGATTGGAACGCAACAGACTTGTATCGGATGTGCCTGAGCTTGTGGAAAATTATCCTAAGAAGCTAAAAGAAGGGAACTGAACAGTACGTACCTATTTGGGTTGCATCAGAGGTCGTCACTGCTGACAAGAGGTGGTGGGAAAGTGCAGGGATGCGTTCCTGGGGCGAATAGGCAGCTCTGTAGGAGGCAAATGTGGTACGTACACGAATCAACGTCCTCAAAAAATGGCCAGGCCCCATACCCTCAAAAAAGAACCAGAAATTGAGAACAAATGTTATAAAAACAATAAAACTGTGAACCAGAGTGTTATTTGTATTAGCATTTTTATTTTTATTTTTTTTAAATATATTTTATTGATTTTTTTACAGATAGGAAGGGAGAGAGATAGAGAGCTAGAAACAGCGATGAGAGAGAAACATCGACCAGCTGCCTCTTGCACACCCCCTACTGGGGATGTGCCCGCAACTAATGTACATGCCCTTGACCAGAATAGAACCTGGGACCTTTCAGTCCACAGACCGATGCTCTACCACTGAGCCAAACCGGTTTCGGCTGTATTAGCATTTTAAAAAAGCAGAATTCCTTTGAGTTAAACAAACTGGCAATTCTAGAACATTTGCTGGAAGGAGAAGCATGAAGCACTAAAGTGCGCCCAACTGTCAGAAAGAGGACAGCAATGGAAAACTGGTGAGATCTGAGTTAAATTTGTAGTTTGATTCCCAGTATTGTACCACTGCTCATTTCTTAGTTGTGCTGAATGTGATGGTGCAAGATGTTAACAAAGGAAGCTCATGGAGGAGATAAGGGGACTCTGTATTGCTTTTGCAAATCTTCTGTAAATATAGAACTATTTCATAATAAAGATTTTAAGTACATGGATCTGTATTAGGGTTCTCCAGAAAACCAGAACCAATAGGATAGTTGGGTGGATGAGTGGATGGATGGATGGATGGATGGATGAATGGATGGATGGATGGGTGGATGCTGGGTGGATGGATGGATGGATGGGTAGTTGGGTGGATGGATGGATATCTCTAAAAAAAAAAAAAAAAAAAAAAAAAAAAAAAAAAAAGCTTTATTATAAGAAATTGCTCATGCAGTTTTGGAGGCTGAGTTGCTTGTGGCTGGACATGCAGGAGAGTCCATGGTGTAGTTCCCAAGCTGAGAGCCAAAGACCCGATGGTGTTGTCTTCAGTCCAGGAGTGGAGGCCTGGGAACCAGAAGCACTGAGGACAGGAAATCAATAATCTAGTTCATACAGTCAGGCAGAGAATGAGCAGACCCTCCCTGCCTCCAGCATTTTGTTCTAGCCCGGTCCTAACAGATTGGATGAGGCCTCACACATTGGAGAGGGCCACCCACTCTACCACTTCACTGACTCAATGCTAATCTCTTCTGGAAGCACACTCCTAGGAAATAATATTTAACTACCTATGCAGGCATCCTGTGATCCAGGCAAGTGGACACACAAAATTGAACAGCACAGCATCTATGTGTGTGTGTACAGCCCGGTCCTGTTAACATCCCCTCAGAATGGATAACAGTATTTTCCTCTGGGGAGAACAAGGGGGAAGGAGTCGGGGTTAGAGGGAGACTTACTTTTGCACTGAAAACCTTTTGTGCTGTTCAAATTTTCTAAACACGTGTACATATACTATATTCAAAAAATGAGAAGTCGCAGGCACATAGGCTGTGCTCTCTAGGAGGCAGGTGGTGAGGGGGAATTTTGTGAATTTAGGGTGTATCCAGGAAACAGCCTTCAGCGAATGCCATGGAAGGTAAGAGGGGAAGCAGGACTGGCCAGAGGCAGAAGGCCAGCCTCAGATGACCGGCTGTGGAGCTCCAGAAACGACAAGCCACAGAGTTCTTCCCATTGGGCGAAGTGGCTGGGCCAGCTACCAGCCCCTGCCAGGCCCTGGATGTGGGCTGAGCTGGGAAGGCCATAGGCTGGTCAAATGGCTCCCTGTCTCTGAGGCAGTCCCTGAGGGGCGGCAGCAGCTGGGGCACCAAGTCCTCCCTGGGAAAGGGGGTCTGGGTGACACACCCACATGTTCCTCACAGTAACAGAGTGTTTATAAGGAAATGGGAAAATGATTATGTTTGGAGAGAAAAAAAAATACAGGACACAAATTTCTATTTATAGCATGTAACAGCTAGGCAAAACAATAAACATTAAAAAAAAAAAACTTTATATTCCTAGAAAAAGCACTGGAAGAAAACATTCCAAAATGTAAAAAGTCTTTTTTTTCCCCCCCTGAAATAGGACTGCACATAATTTTTCTTTCTACTTCCATGTTTCTATATTTTTTTCCAAATTTTAATTAATCAAAATTTTCAAAAGAGCACTCTAAATTCTGCTGCTGTTGTTTCTATCATTAAGCTTTGATACTACTTCATAAATTAATTCTGTGCTTATAGAGAAGGATGGGGAATATTTAATCATTATCAAATAATGTCTAAAATTGTAGGGTACTACATAAGAAATAAATTGGTTCTATAAATAAATATAAACGCAGCTTTTTTAGGCAATCACAAGTTCAAAGAAAAGTTAGTGGCCCAAACATTGTTAAATTAAAATGACCAGAGTCAATTATTTCTTGTTCTCAACACTTAAAGCAGCAGTCATAAACTTTTCCAGCAGAGGGCGACAGTAGCTTAGATAAAGATAGAAATATTGGCTGCCTAATTTGCAGCTAGGTTACTGTGACTGGAAAACCGCCTTTGCTTTTTGGTGGTGGGGGTGGGGGGAGAAAAAAAACTTATTCTATTCAATTCCAATGACTATTTTGGTGTGTCAGAGGTTCTCAACCAATCAAGTACACAGAGTGGCTGTCTTCTCCCCAAAGGGAAATGAACAGCCTTAGTCAGCCTATGGACCCAACTCCAGCTCAGCCAGTGCCATTCTGCTGCCCACCCGGCCCCCCAGCCCCACGAGTTGGCGCGCTCTGGAGAGAACCCGCACTCCCACTGCACGCTTTGCGCTTCCTGGTCGCCCCCATCAACCTAGTCTTGGCACCGGCACCTGTGCCCCCGGCCTGTCAATGGGACCCCACCCATTCCGAGCCCTCCTCCCCACTATTGGCACCTGCACCTCCACTGGAGCTTGCCCATGTCCCCACTGCAGGAGAGCGCTCCCGCCCGCTGTGCGCTCCCCGGCCCTCCGCCCCTAGCCTTTGATGCAAACACTTAAGCCCCGCCAAGCGTTCACGTACAACCCGCCTGTCCCGCGGCCCCCACACCCCCACCCCCACCAACCCCCACCACCACCACCACCACCCACCCTCCCCCACCCCCCACCCCCCCACCCCCCCGCAGACTGCGCAGGCACCTCGGCCAGAGCTTGTCCGCGCGCACCCCGCACCCCGCCTGCGCCTCTGTGGGCTCCGGCCCAGACGCTCGGCACCCCTCCCTTCCCCCGCCACCCCTATTCCCAGTCCGCCGCCCCGCGCCCTCTCCAGGGAGCCCTGGGCAGGCGCAGGCACAAGCGCGCGGAGCGGTGCGGGGCAAGGCGGCGCTCAGCTTCGGGACCCCTGGCCTGAGCCTGGTGGAGAGGACCAAGATGGGTACACGCAGCTGCACCGGGAGCGGGCGGCCAAGGCCAGCTCCAGACACCACTCCACTCGGCTTCCCGGCAGCGAGAGCCCGGCGGGGGGCTTCGCAGCGGCCGGGCTCGGGGCAGCAGCGGGCGGGGTGGGCGGCACCAGTGCACCCGCCCCCGTGCCGCCCGCGCGGGCCCTGGGTGGCTTCGCTGGCCAAGTGCCGGGGCCACATCCACCTGCAGGAGCTGCACCTGATGCGCCTGAGAGAGGCGGGCACGCCCCCCACCCGCTGCTAACAGGGGTGCAGCGCCGCTCCTGGCGGCCCAGGGCGGGCCAAGAGCAGAGGCCGCGGGGAGGGCACCCTCCAGGCCCGGACGCCCTGCCCCGAAGAATGGGGCCCTCCACGGTGCAGCTCCTGCCGCGGGTGGGCGCGTTGGCGCGTCCGGGAGCCCCTGCAGGTGAGGTTCTCCCCGGACTGGCCATTCTTGGGGGCGCGGGGCCCCGCCCCCGTGACGTCAATCCAGAGACTGACAGTTGAAGCCGGACCGCTGTTCGGGTCGGTTGCTCGGGAGACCCGGGTACACAGAGAGGACTGGCCTCCGTCCCCAGGCCCGTGCGCGGTCCTCTCCTGGGACTCGCAGGCCCGGGACACACGAGCCAGGTGGCCCCCAGCTTGGCCAGCGGAGAGCCGCAGGCACCATGAGCCAGAGGCAGGTGCTGCAAGGTAGGAGCTGGGGCGGCTGCCCCACAGCACTGGACGGGAGCCAGGGGGTGTCTGAGCAGCTCGCTCCACCGTGTCTCTCTCCGCAGTGTTCGAGCAGTACCAGAAAGCCCGCACCCAGTTCGTGCAGATGGTGGCAGAGCTGGCGACCAGACCCCAAAACATCGAGACCCTGCAGAACGCGGGTGAGCCCTTCCCTGCACCCGCGTGGCCCGCACCCCTGGGGCTGTCGTTACCTGGTGCCCTGCGCCTGCAGCCATTGGTCTGCCGGGTCCTCAGCCCTGCCTCGCCCATCACAGCACCCCAGGCCAGTCACTGCCTGTCACTGGGCTCTCCTGCCGCGTTCCCACCCCCACCTTTCCTGACCCCGGCCTCCCATCCCATCCCACCCCTATCCCCTGCGGCTGAGTTGGGGAGAAGGAGGAGGGCTGGAGGAATGCCTCCAGTTCACTGCGAAGGTGGTAGAAGCATTCAGTCTCTTTAGCGGGCCTTTGGGGGTGAGGCTGAGCGGGTGAAGCTCACAGTTTGGTGTGAGAGAAGCCCTGTTTCCATCTTTACTGCAACCAGGCAAGTGTCAGGTGGAAAGTCAAAGCCAAACCAGCCTGAAGTCATTCTATGTGAACGGGAATCTGCCCTAATCAGGCCCGGTTACCGTGCGGTGCCCCTGCCCCGTCACCCTGCCTTGATCACCTTAACTTCACACCAAGGTACTCCAGAGCCACTGTTATTTTTCATTTTGCATTAGTGAAAGAGCTTGATACGCTTGAGTCTTTTCCAGGATATTCAAAGTCAGTAAAGATCTAGTTTTGAGAAACCCTCATAATATTTCTCATTTCACCCCTCAGCCCAACTCATGCAGATGATTTGCTTCTTATCTAATAACAAGGAGATAGTGGTGGTTCTCCTCTCCCTTCCCTTTCTTCTCTCATTAAGCATGATCCACCAGGATCTGCACTCAAAGTAAGAGCATCTTATCATTACTGTGTCATGAGAAACCTTCAATTTATAGGATATGATCTTTAAGACTCACTTAAATTCACATGCAATTAAAAGAAAATTAAGAACATTAAAATAAGGGCAAGAATGTTTAGACATAAATTTACTGTGGGTTATTTTTTAGGGTTACTAGATACTACAGCATTTTTATGTGTTTTGTTGTTGTTGTTTATCAGTGGGAGGAATTTTGGTGTTTATTCCTTGTATGTTTTCATTTTGGGTCAGTACATGCATTAAGAATGGAGAAAGTGCATATTATAACAGTTTTAAAAACTTTTTGTTTAGGGGTAATTGTAGATTCACATGTAATTGTAAGAAACAGTACAAGATCCTGTATACCTGGAAACTGTGGGATGATATCACAACCAGGAGGTGACATGGGTAATTCTCTGATTTAATCCGGGTTCTCCCAGTCTGACTGGGACTGATGTGTTTGTGTGTGTGCTATGCAGTTTTATCCTGTGTGTACCCATCACCATAGTCAAGATACAAACCTCTTTCATCACCCAAGGGTGCCTCCCTGTGTTGCCCTTTTCTAACCACACCCACATCCCTCCTGTCCCTAACCCTGGGCAACTTGCTCTAATCTCTCATCCACTTTTAAAATTTCACTATTTCAAAATTGATAATCTTTTGTTCTGCAGTTGTTTCCTGTGGGTTAATTTACTTTCTTCTGCATGTGTGTGTGTGCTTTTATGCATGCATGTATACTCCTCAAAGTACTCAGAACAGAACTAAACATACATACTGTTTCATATGTACTAACTAAATAAAGTTTATTACAGCATAATTCATTTTAAAATGCACTTATATTTTAGGGATTTTTTTTTCTCTTTTAGTCCTACTCAATGCCCTTTGTTAATGGACACTTACTATTTACAAATATTTAATTTTTGGACAATATACTGCTCATCTAAAACATTTTTAAAATAGGGAAGATTATTGACATTACATTAAAAATTTGATACAGAAAAATGGAAGTATAGGTAATACTTAAAATACACAATATCATGGTTTAGTATAAGAGTGGCAGGCTTTCTCTTCCCATAAGTGTACAATGTAGAATATTCTATGGGATGTAGCAATCCAAACAGGCTAAATGATCAGTGAAGTAGAAGTGACTTAGAGATGACATTGAACTTTTAATTATATTTTAAATTTAGAAAGGGAGGGAGAGAGAGAAACATGGGTTTGTTGTTCCACTTATTTATGCATCCATTGGTCGATTCTTGTATGTGCCCGCAACCTTGCCCGTGGAAACCACAGTCTAACCAACTAAGCACCCAGCCACGGCTATTGGACATTTTAAACAGCCACCTGTTCTCACTTATGAAGGAATGGAATACAAAAGAAATATAACTGCCCTAACCAGTTTGGTTCAATGGATAGAGCGTTGGTCTGCGGTCTGAAGGGTCCCAGGTTTAATTCAGGTCAAGGGCGTGTACCTTGGTTGCGGGCACATCCCTGGTGGAGGGTGTGCAAGAGGCAGCTGATTGATGTTTCTATCTCATAGATGTTTCTAACTGTCTATCTCTCTCCCTTCCTCTCTGTAAAAGATCAATAAAATATATATTTTAAAAAAGGAATATAACAATGTCTTAAAGTTATCTGCACTTTAATATCTTAATGGAACACTAAGATTTTTCTTTTCCTGAGAAATTTATTTTAGCATATTTTATGTTATCTAGATTCAATGTAAACACTGCTTATTACTTTACTCTGGAGATAAGACATTTATTCACATAAAACTAGAGGACCACATAAGATGTGATGTCAAGGATGGCTGCTGTGCTTTGCATGACTTTGGGTGTACATTTATATCATGGTCAATGTGAACGGCAGCCCCTGGATTTGCGCAGTACACAGCCATACATGGTGGACTTGGGGGTTATTCAGTCTTCATTTTCATTTATTTCACTGAAAGTAAGTAGTGCAAACACCAAAGTTCTCCATGGCTTCCCATTTCCCTTAGAGTGGCATCACAAGCCCAGCAGCTGTGGTTCATGGTTGAGCATTGACCCAGGAATCAAGAGATCACCAGTTTGATTCCCAGAGAGGACACATGCCCAGGTTGCTGGCTCAATCCCCAGTATGGGGCATGCAGGAGGCAGTCAGTGTTTCTATCTTTCTATACCTCTCCTTTCCTCTCTCTCTAAAAAATCAATAAAAACATTTAAAAAATTAAAAATAAAAAGATTATCGTAACAAGATCTTAATTTGACCTAGAGCCAAACTTGAGCTGGCCCGGCCAAGCTCTCCAGCTTTGTCTCTTGCCCCATTACCCTCCCACTTGACATTTCAGACTGGTCTGACTTTCTCATGGCTTCTTCAACAGTCTGCCACAATCCTGCATCCCTGTCCAAGCCAGAACCTGGAAGTATCACCGATTCCTCCATCTTCACACTAATCAGTTTCTCTCCTAAATACCTCCTTAGGCCATTCACTTTTCTCTTTCCCTTTTGCCATTGCTGTTCTTCAGGCTATCTGCACAACCAGTGTAGTTCCTACAACAGCTTCCTCTGTGGTCTTCCTGCCCCCAATAGTGTCTATTTTTATCCTTTCTTCCCAGTGTAATGAGAGTGATCCTTCTTCACCAAAGTACAAATTTGATCCTATCACCGCACTGACACTGGTGTTCAGATACAATTCAAAATACTTAAAATAGTTTATTGGACCCTTCAGGATTTTGGTTCCTTTTAATTAACCTTCTTTCTCCAGCCTCCTCTCTCCCTTCTTGTACTGTAGTCATACTGCATTCTCAGTTTTGTCAATATATCAAACTGTTTTTGGTTCTGAGCTTCATTTATATAGTTCCTTCTGGTTGGAATACTCTGTAATCCATTTACCTCACTAATTCTTCTTTTTTTTAGCAGGCAACATGCCTCCAAAACCTTCAGATCTCAACTTAGGTGTCACTGCTCCTGGGTTGCCTTTTCCGTGTTCTTCAAAGCCTGGGCTCGATGCTCTCCCATGTTTGCAGAGCGCACTCCACTTATTTCATTGCATACATCATAATGTGTTCCATTTGTTATCTCTCAAAGCCCCTATACAAGTTCTTTGAGGTTAAAGACAATTGCGTTTTCAACACCTTGTCTATTCTGAATAGGTATTTCTTTTATTTTTAATTACAATTTACGTTCAACATTATTCTATACTAGAGGCCTGAGGCACAAAATCTGTGCAAGGGGCTCAGCTCTCCCAGCCGCAGCGGCTTGCCTTGGTCCTTGCAGCCCTAGCTTTGTCCGGAAGGTCATCCAGAAGGACACCCGGAAGGTGGTTCAGCTGTCCAGTCTAATTAGCATATTATGCTTTTATTATTATAGATTAGTTTCAGATGTACAGCATAGTGACTGGAAAATCATGTACTTTACAGATTGGTTCCCCCAATATTTCAATTACCTGCCCAGCCCTATACATAGTTATTACAATATTATTGACTGTCTTCCCTAATTTACATCTCTGTGACTATTCTATAACTACCCATCTGTACTTCTTAATTCTTTTACCTTTCACCCATCTGCCCCAACCTCCCTTTCTTCTGTCAACTGACACTCCCTTCTCTATTTCTACTTCAATATTTTGTTTGTTTATTTTGTTCTTTAGATTCCATATATAAGTGAAATCATGTGGTATTTATCTTTCTCTAGCTGATTTATTTCATTTAGCATAATACCTTCTAGGTCTATTCATCCTGTCACAAAAGGTAAGATGTCATTCTTTTTTATGGCTGAGAAGTATTCCATTGGGTATATGTACCACAGCTTTTTTTTTTTTTAATTCTCATTCAAGGACATGCTTAAAGAAAGAGAGGGGGGGGAAGAGAAGAGAGAGAGAGAGAGAAAGAGAGAGAGAGAGAGAGAGAGAGAGAGAGAGAGAGAGAGAGAGAGAGAGAGAAACATTTATGTGAGAGATATATCAATCTATTGCCTTCTGTACGTGCCCCAACCAGGGATGAAGCTCACAAACCAGGCATGTGCCCTGACCAGAAATCAAACAGATAACGTTTCATTGTAGGGGATGATGCCCAATCAACTGAGCCACACCACCAGGACCTAAAATTCCACTTTTAGGTATATAGGTACACTTAAAGGAATTGAAACCTGGGACTCAGATAGATACGTGTACACCAGTGCTCATACAAGCATTATTTACAATAACCTAAAAATGGAAACAACTTAAATGCTCATCA